GGCCACTTCTGCTTTGGCCACTTCCACTTTGGCCACTTCTGCTTTGGCCACTTCCACTTTGGCCACTTCTGCTTTGGTCACTTCCACTTTGGCCACTTCTGCTTTGGCCACTTCCTCTTTGGCTTAATGTAATTCCGTTTTTTCAAATATTTTGTCAAATATAATTCTGTTTTTTCAAATGTTGTTGTGTTTTGTTGTTTTTTGTTGTGTTACTTCAAATGTAATTCTGGGTTGTTGTTTATTTTTTCAAATGTTGTTCATTTACACCTTAAGGCCACCATATACTTGTGTAAAAATCAGTACAATGTACCGGTAGTTACAAGATAGTTAACATGGTGGCATGTACTGGCATGCATGCGTGTGTGTTGCTATCTCTAATCCTCTGTATCCAGGTAGATGGGTTTTGTGTATAGTGTTTGGTATTTGCAGTTTTTTGTTGGTCATTCATTTTTTCCTGCTTTCTTTGTCACATATGGGTTTAGACTGTTTTGGCGTGCTCCTCGTGTCTGTTTGCACACTGCATGCGCTGCAGTGTTGTAGATAAATGAGTTAATGTTTCTACTGGCGATGAACAAAAGACCTGAATTCCCAACGGAGCATTTTAGTTGAGAGCAGCCTGAGTGCAATCCTAGACGGTGGAACAGATCTCCCAGATTATGTTTTCATGCACTGTTCACTTGTTTTCAAAGCCGATTTACATGGCGCAGCAGCATGTGTGCTACCTTTCTTTCTACCACAGATATCCTGCTAAACAAAGCACAACTAAAATCTGCATCACATCACTTCTGTCGTATGTTGCAGTCATTTCCCTGCATGCGCTCCACATTGGCATCTCTCTCAGAGAGAATATGAAATAGGGCTGGACATGATTCTGTTGTTTTGAGGCCTTTTGTGAAGCAGTATTACGCATCTTAGTGATATATAGTGACAATGGTTGTTTTAAACCTGGAGTCCTATAAATATTATTTCACTTAGCTGAGGGGTGACTCGCCTGTTAGCCATCTTTAAGCTGGAGAATGGATGAGTGTTATATTTTAGAACATGTCACATGGAAGCTGTTAACACTGTAATTCTCAGAGCTCACCTCATATGAAATTGATAAAAGGTCGAGCAATAACTCAGAACTCATCACACCCACTTGAAGAGGGGTGTTACAGAGACAGAAAAAAAATCTCAAAAGGCAGTGGTGGTTACAGGCACTTCTCTGTTTGAACACAGGACAGTGTATGAGATATGTTTGAGTGTTATTCCTGGAAGATTTTTGCAGCTCAGCTCTGACCCTAACCCCCACTCCCCCACAATCCTTGACTCATCTCCCTGATCCAACCTCAGAATTTATATTCCCCCTCCAGCAAAAGGAAGGACCATCTTGGCCTTTCATTTTCCAGTTCAGGGCTTTTTTCCCTCCTATTTCTTTTTTTTTTTCAGATAAATGCTCTCCAATCCACCCTGACAGATGTCACATTGCATCACTTCCATTTTGATACATAGCCTCTGATCCTGCCACTTGCAATAAGAAGGCAGCACCAGGGACGCCCTTCCCTAGACGATGCTCTGACACAGGTTATTATTTTAAAGGTGCATCACTGATGGTGCTGAGCAGCAAACCATTTTTGCTAGATGCCATGTCCATGTACGCTTTCTGCAGGAATTGTGGCACCAGCTTGTGTTTTGGTCAAAGAGCGACAACAGCACAACATGCTTAGAACATGCAGGTGCTCATGGGTGGCAATTTATTGTACACTTCACTTCTTAACTTGCTGTGTTTGTTAGTTCTGCTCCTCATTCGGTCTCCCCCATTGTGACTACACAGGTCAGAGTTGGAGAAACAATCTGTATAAAGAGAAGGTTTTAGTGCTTCTGCTGCCTCCAGAAATGCAGCAGTGTAGCATTAATCATACGGTGCCAGAGTACATCAGTAAACACAGTATGTCAGGTCAAGGTAAAGATCAGATCCCACAGCATTTAACAGGACTCAATAGCATACAGGCAATCTATTGAAAAGTCAGCGTTATTCATGGCATGTCTCCCAGGCCTCGGGTGCACGCAGGAGAGACACGCCATTGTTCACCGAAGAGCGCACTGAAATATTTCTCTGGCTACACACAAAAAAACACTGGATCAGCAGCAATTAGTAGAGTAAGAAAGAGATAAAGAGAGGAAGAGAGGAAGGGCAGCAGTTGAAATAGAATGGGGGGGGGGGGGGCGCAAAAAATACAGAATCAGCGACAGGAAAAAAAAGAGGAAGGCATGAAAGTTAGAGGGAAAAAGATAGATGAAGAAGAAGGAAGAGAGTTGGTGAATAAAAAAGAAAGATAGAACAGTTTGGTGTGTAGGAGGTTGAGCGTGCCTGGAGCCCCTCGTGCTTATAAACGACCAGACACACACATTGTATTGTGTCTGTGTGTGTGCATGTGAGACATATCTTCATTATTCTTCTGTTTTCTCAACTTTTCTTTCTTCTTTCCACGCTCTGACCTCACAGTTCTCATGCGTTCGTTTGGGTCTGAACTCACTTATGACACAGATTGATCAGGTCTGGGGGAAAAGAAAACCTAAAACAATGTGCCAACAACAGCCAACCTTCAGTAAACCAACTAGATGCCTACCTGTGATACTTGTTAAACAGAGAAACAGATTTATTTTTAACTCTCGCAACTGCAATGAAAATGTTCCACGCTCAGCCCCCTCTAATTGCTTTCATACAGTAATTGAGGTCAGCCATGTTGTAACCTTTTGCCTCTTTTTTATTTATTTTTTGTTTCAGAAGACAGGAAGTTATTTGTTGGGATGCTGAACAAACAGCAGACCGAAGAGGATGTTTACCGTCTCTTTGAACCCTATGGAGTCATCGAGGAGTGCACAGTCCTAAGAGGTCCTGATGGCAACAGCAAAGGTAGGAACCATTATACAGCTGTCAGCATTATTTAGGTCAATGACAGACACTCGACTGTGTGTGTGAGAGTGTGAAGTGTGTGCTTACATCAGCAAATCTATACAAATTACGCTTGACATATGCATCAAATATAGGTCAAGTAACATGTTCCTTTAAATATAAATATTTGAAACATTTTAAAAGTAATTATTGTCTCTTTAGTTTACATTTAACACAGCTGAATCTGTTTGTTTCAACTCTCTTTTTGATTTTCATTTGTAGCTTGTTTGTGCTTTTCAGTAACATTAAATCTTTAAAATGTAAAAGATGTCTTGGTTGCTTGTAGGGCATGCAGTGTGTTTTAGAGTAGAACTGTGACTAGAAGGTCAAAGGCCAACCCACAAATTAATAAATAAAACTCTTCACATTTATATATAGCCACTAGCAAACCAATGCAATATATATTTTTTTGTAGTAGCAAAAATTTTCTGAAACGACTCCTTGGGTTTTTGAAGAACTCACAAGTGGCTCCTTTCTCTAGTCAGTGTTTAAATAAATTGTTGCAAAATTGCATTTTTTGGGAGGGCTGAAGCCATGATGTTCAGATTCAGCAGTGGTTTGGACAGTTTGGACTCTGGCGTCACGAGCGCCGTAGAATGGTAGCACTGACGGGAGCGCCACTTCGATTTGATCTTTTTTGGTTCCTGTTGTTTTACCTTTTGTTGCACCTACACTGCACACCCACCGTACGGGTATGACCGCGACACACTTGTGGAGTTTTGTATGTCGCTGCCTTGTCATTGTGCCATCCTGCCATTGTGGTTCAGTTCCTGTCCACCCTCCAGCCCCGGCCTGTCATGATGGCCGTCTCCATGATCCTCCATCTGCCTGCACGAACCAAACTCTATGGACCCATTCGGTTCCGCAGAGAAATCTTAGATGTTCTCCATTTGCCAGACCTGGTTCTGGAGGCAGTCTGGAAGGGCAGCTGCTACGTCATTATTACCATCAAGCTGCTGATGGGACTTGCTAACAAGACCTGCTAACGCTGCTAACAAGATCTTCCACTGCCTGTACGGACCGAACTTTACAGACCCGTTTGGTTCTGCATGGAAACTCTGGATGTTCTGTCTGCTGAACCCAGTTCTAGAGGGCAGTCTGGGAGGCAGCTGCTGCAGTCCTTATTACCATCAAGCTGCTAACAAGACCTGCTAACGCTGCTAAAAGAAGGGCACGCCACTAACTGAACCACACCGCTAACAGTACCATGGTGCCAACTGGACCATGTTGCTAAGATAACCTCGCTGTCACCAGAACCACTCTGCCAATAGGACCATGCTGCTGTAGATTTATTTATTTTTTTACTTTGGGTGCCTTGTTTTTGTATTTTTGTTGCATGCTTTGATATTTGCTGTTGTTGTTTTTTTTTTTTGGCGAGTCCAGACTGTTCTTCTCGTCCTAAGTATTTCATTGTATTGTTGACCTTATGTTGAGTTTACATATGACAAATAAACCAAACCTGAACCTGTTTGGAGCTGAAAAGAAACAGTAACGTCAAAAACAATTCAAGTGTCCTTCCACTGTGAGGATGAAAATAGCCAAAGTTTCACAGTTGTCCTGTAATATTTGTACTTTTTTTAAGACAGCAATTTTTTCTTTTGGTACTATTTTCATTTATGTTTTTTTTTATTATTATTATTAATATTAATGTTTCAAGCCAAACCAATACAAGTATTTTACAATCCATTTTTGACCATTTTATTTTCTCACTTAATACCAAGAAAATTCCACTTTTCAAAAAAAAATAGACCCTTTTCTTGTTTTGTACATCTTACATTCATTTTGCAAAAACTGAATCTAGATCAACCTAAATAATTTGACACTAGCTTAACCATGATGTCTATTTTGTTAACTGTGTTACTTTACAAAGAGAATGAGTTCCTCTTTAGCAGATTATGCACAGTTCAAACATGGACTGAACATATATCCAGTGTCTTTGTCAGCTTTACTATCAGGACTGTATCATGCAATTATTTGGCAATGCAGAAACTTTAAAGCAGTCTAAATGAAATGTTTTGGTGGCAAAATTGGGTTCAGGATCTTCCCTTGGGGTGCATCTAACATGTGAAATGGAGAAGTAAGGGGGTTTGAACCAGCAACATCCTGGTGAAGAATAGCTGCTGCAGCTTTTGAGCTACAGCCACCCCCACAAGGTGAAGGCGATACATGACTTACAGAATATATTAAGATGTGAAAGCCTAATTATAGCAGTACATGGTACTATTGTAGAAAAGACCTTGTACAGGTCATCAGGAGCTCCAGCTCTGTCCCGCTCGTATCTCAACAGGGTGCAGTGGTTTGGCAGCTGAATGGACATCTTGATCGGCCGCTGTTCACCGGGGCGAGCCTATTAACACGGGAAGAATGGCAGGGTGACTGGGTCAAGTGGGACAGAAGATAAGAAAAATAAAGCATAAAAGATTAAATAAAAGGGAAGGAACTTTAAATGAAATGAAATTAGGTGAAATAAGGTATAATTATAAGAGGACATGATGGATCTGTAGCTGCTCTTTCACTCCAATAGATATATATTCACAGCTTCTGTTTTTAAAGATTTAAGAGTTATATTTGGTACGTTGGGGTTCTTGGGTCCTCTTGACACCCGGTATTCACGAGGAGCAAATAGAAAACTGTTATCTAGACTGGACTATTGCAATGGTTTATTGGTGTCCAAATTCTTCTTTTAAAAGTCTTCAGTTAATCCAAAATGCTGCTCCCAGAGTCTTAACTGGAGTTAGTAGGAGATATCATATCAATCAATCAATCAATCAAACAATCAATTTTATTGATCCAAAGGGAAAAATATCTTTCTAGTTTTAGCTTCTCCCCGTTTGGCTCCCTGTCAAGTCCAGAATTGAATTCAAAATCTTACTGCTAACCAGTGGTGTAGTCTACATTTTTGTACTGGGTATACTGTGCTTAGAACCCGAAGTACACCGGTTAATACAATGTAATCGTCATTTTATTTATTTTTAAGTACATTGAATGTTTTAACATTTCTCTTATGCTTATATTTGAATAAATGTACAACAAACTTTGTACAACAGTTGGCTTTGTATTAAAAACGTTATAGAATTTATAAAACAGTATCAAAGTAAAACATGTTCAAGTATTAAGTAATAAGTACTGAAGTAGTAATTATACAAAAAATAGGTCGAATCAACTCATTCTATCTATAAAATGTTCCAAATGTGTTGACAATGACACATGACCAATAATATGTCACATTGGACACTTTTAAGTGGGTATACTGAACTTCTCAAACTTTTCTAGTGGGTATACTCTGTATACCTGCGTATCACATACACTACACCATTGCTTCTAACCTACAAAGCTCTCAACAACCTAGCTCCATCTTATATTAGCCATCTTATTGTTTCATATTTTCCTAACAGAGCACTTCACTCTCAGACTGCAGGCTTACTCGCGGTTCCCAGAGTTTCCAAAAACAGAATGGGAGGAAGATCTTTCAGTTATCAGGCTCCTCTCTTGTGGAACTAACTTCCAGTTTCTGTCCGTAAGGCTGACACATTGTCCAGTATTAAGACTGGGCTTAAGACTTTCCTTTTTGATAAATCCTATAGTTAGGGTTGGCTCGTTATGCTGTCATAGACTTACACTACTAGAGGACAAACTGGCCTCATTTCCTTAAATGAATTGTGAAAATGTAAAAGTTTTCATTGTTACTGGTTCTGTCTTAACATGTGATTCTTGACCTGCCATTATGTACAGTATCTGTTCCTCCTTCCTGTTCCTCTCAAACCCAGCTGGTCGAAGCAGATGACCGCTTGTCCTGAGCCTGGTTTTGCTAAAGGTTTCTTCCTCATGAGGGAGTTTTTCTTTTACACTGTTGCCTTCATGCTTGCTCAAGATGAGAGTCAGTGATGGAGTTAAATTCAAAGCAGTCTGCTCCTCAGATAAATAAATAAATAAATAAATAAATAAATAAATAAATAAATATATATATAT